AAACTAAGAGCTGGTTTTATGAAAAAACCAATAAAATAGATAAACCTCTGGTTGATTTGATTGAAAAAAAAAAGAAGAAAACCAAATACCAGCACCAAAAATGAAAAGGGTGAATTGACCATCAATGAAGAGGAAACCAAAACAATTATTAGGAGCTATTTTCCCCAAATGTATGCTAATAAATTTGACAATCTTAGTGAAATGGATGAATATTTACAGAAATATAAATTTCCCAGATTAACAGAAGAGGAAATAAAATACTTAAATAACCCCATTTCAGAAAAAGAAATTGAATAAGCCATCAATGAACTCCCTAAGAAAAATTCTCCAGGGCCAGATGGATTTACAAGTGAATTCCATTTAACATTTAAAGCATAATTAATTCCAATACTATATAAACTGCTTGGGAAAATAGGTAAAGAAGGAATCCTATCAAATTCTTTTTATGATACACATATGGTGCTGATACCTAAAACAGGAAAATCCAAAAGAGAGAAAGAAAATTATAGGCCAGTTTCCCTACTGAATATAGACACAAAAATTTTAAATAAAATATTAGCAAAGAGATGACAGCAACTTCTCTCAAGGATAATACACTATGACCAGGTAGGATTTATTCTAGGAATGCAGGTTCGGTTTAATATTAGGAAAACTATCAGCATAATTGACCATATCAACAACAAAACTAACAGAAATCATATGATTATCTTAATAGATGCAGAAAAAACATTAGACAAAATACAATATACATTCCTTAATAGGACTAGAAAAACACTAGAGAACATAGGAATAAATGGAGTTTTCCTTAAAATGATAAGTAGCATGTATCTAAAATCATCAGCAAGCACTATATGTAATGGGGATGTGCTAGAAGCATTTCCAGTAAGATTGGGGGTGAAGCAATGTTGTCCATTATCACCACTATTGTTCAATATTGTACTAGAATCATTAGCTTTAGCAGTAACAGAAAAAAAGAAATTGAAGGAATTAGAATAGCAAAGAAGAAACAAAGCTATCACTCTTTACAGATGACATGATGCTATACTTAGAGAATCCTAGAGAATCAACTAGAAAAAACTACTTGAAATAATTAACAAATTTAGCAAAGTTGCAAGATATAAAATAAACCCACATAAATCATTGGCATTTCTATATATTACTAACAAAGTCCAACAGCAAGAGATAGAAAGAGAAATTCCATTTAAAGTTACTGTAGACATTATGAAATATGTGGGAGTGTACTTGCCAAAACAAACTCAGGAACTATATGAACACAATTACAAAATACTTTTCACACAAGTAAAGTCAGATCTAAATAATTGGAAAAATATCAGTTGTTCATGAGTAGGCCAAGCTAAAATAATAAAAATGACAATTCTACCTAAATTAAATTACTTATTCAGTGCCATACCAATCAAACTACCAAAAATTATTTTACAGAGCTTGAAAAAACAATAACGAAATTCATCTGGAAGAACAAAAGGTGCAGAATATCAAGGGAACTGACGAAAAGAAATGCAAGAGAAGGTGGCCTAGCTGTATGAAATCTTAAATTGTATTATAAAGCAGCAATCATCAAAACTACTTGGTACTGGTTAAGAAATAGAGTGGTGGATCAGCAGAATAGGTTAGGTATGCAAGACACAATAGTCAATGACTATAGTAATCTACTATTTGATAAATCCAAAGACTCCCGCTTCTGGGATAAGAAATTCCTATTGGACAAACACTCCTGGGAAAACTGGAAAATAGTGTGGCAGAAACTAAGCATAAACCAACATCTTATACCCTGTACAAATATAAAGTCAAAATGGGTACATGATTTATGTATAAAGACTGATACTATAAGCAAACTAGGAGAGCAAGGAAAGTGTATCTATCAGATCTATGGAGAAGGGAAGAATTTATGACCAAACAAGAGATAGAGAACATTATGAAATGCAAAATGGATGACTTTGATTACATTAAATTAAAAAGTTTTCACACAAACAAAGCCAATACAAACAAGATTAGAAGGGAAGCAGAAATCTGGGAAACAATTTTTACAGTCAGTGTCTCTGATAAAGGCCTCATTTCTAAAATATATAGAGAACTGAGTTGAATTTATAAGAATACAAGTCATTCGCCAATTGATAAATGATCAAAGGACATGAAAAGGCAGTTTTCATAGGAAGAAATTAAAGCTATCTATAATCATATGAAAAAATGTTCCAAATCACTGTTGACTAGAGAAATGCAAATCAAAATGACTCTAAGGTACCACACCACACCCATAAGATTGGCTAACATGACAAAACAGGACAATGAAAAATGTTGGATAAGATGTGGGAAAATTGGAACACTAATGAATTGTTGGTGGAGTTGTGAAATGATCCAACCATTCCGGAGAGCAA